TTACTTTGATCGTAAGTCTAACATTTAGCATGAATAACATACAGATCAATCTACAATCATGAATAGCATAAAATTTTTGGCGATCGGAGTAAATGTCGCGTGGTTATAGTGCCACGCCTCTTTGGGGTCTGAGTCGAAATTCTGCTGTTGCCGGCATTTTTTCGTGAAAATCTCTCGGCTAGATATAGTGCGCATTAGTGCCTTGCGTTGAACAGAGTTTCACCAAAATCGCAAAGACCCAAGGCGAGAAATTCAGCGGTTTGACAATTTAGGTCTAATTTATATGAAAAAGGATAAGCAAACTTTGCACGATTATATCTAATAAACTATGAGAATTATCCCTATATCTTGGGGATCTTTATATACAGATGGGTCCTTGCAATATACAGCTATTTCTAAAAAGGTTGTCGGAAAAACTGTGCACGCGACAATCCCAAAAGGTAATATGGGATATGATTAATACACCGTTCCTGACACTGTAGCTGTCGAACCTACTTTTATTGCTTTCCTTTAGCACTCGCAAACATACGTCCATGGCCTCTCTTGCTATTGTTTGAAATTTCTTTGAAAAACAGTGAACTAAAAACCACCCACAATACCTTTCGGGATTGTCGCGTGCACTTTTTCCGACAACCTTTCTCGAAATAGCTGTATATGACATATGATAATTTTCGTACGGTGAGAAAGGTGATCGCGTGATAAATAGGGGTTTAACTCACGATTTTTAATCAATTCTCGTTCTTCTTGTGCCTTTGAAAAAAAAAATCAAGAAATGCTATACACTAAATCTACTTACTATTAAAAAAATAAACCAACTTATTACGTGACGGGAATCCCTTCTGACTATTTTCTCATACTAAATTATCATATCTCGGTGAGCATTCGGAAGTCAGCCAAGCGCGGTCATTGCACGCGTGCTGAACAAGAATGCTGTATCATGACAGACTAGAAACGATAGAAAACTCCCAAAGTACAAACTCAGCCAAAACGCTAAAAATCTTCAATGTTTACTCAAGTTTGGGCTTATAGAAGATAATGTCACAGTTTTTCAATGACCATGAAATTGAGAATCCGGGTAGTTAGTTAATCAATTGTGGCCCTGAAAAAATTTGAAAAAAAAAAAAATACGAATTTTTAAGAAAATGTTTTTTTTTCCGTGAGAAGGACTCTTAAACGCTGACAAACGTCAACAAATAGCTAAAACTATAATTTCTATGTTTGCATTGCTCGAAATCGCGCGCATTTACAAGGCCCTAAAAGCTTTTTGCTGACTTGCAAGGACCCATCTGTTACAAAGATCCCCAAAATAAAGGGATAAATATCATAGTTTATTGGATATTATCGTGCAAAGTTTGCTTATCATTTTCACAGAAATTATGACCTTAATTTGCAAACCGCTGAATTTCTCGCCCGTTCTTTGCGATTTTGGTAAAGCACTGTTCAACGCAAGGCACCAATGCGCACTATATGTAGCCGTGAGATTTTCACGAAAAAATGCCGACAACAGTAGAATTTCGACTCAGACCCCAAAGAGGCGTGGCACTATAACCACGTGACAATTACTCTAATCACCAAAAATTTTATGCTATATTGTAGATTGATCAATATGACTTGTTATCCATGCTGTATGTTAGACTTACGATCAAAGTAAAGGTGGGGATACCAGTGAGCTTCAAAGTAGGATGCTAACCCCACAAAAAAACACTGGGTCGAGTCACCAGAACGAATACTCGAATTAACCAGAGTGAAAACTATTGGAAAACGAAGGATTTTCCGCTGGGTGAATATTAGAAAATGCAGGTAAATTGCACCTTCTTCGTTTTCTCAGTGGCAAAAGTGCCGCTTTTCTTGCCGTGGAAATTAAAACTTCGTTTAGCCGGATAACTGTAGAACTTTAGGGATTCGTGCGCGAATTTTTTTTCCCCGCGAAGGAAAACATAGGCTCGATTACCAGCCGCTGTTCGGGAAAATGAGCCCGCACTCATCCCCCGAAAGAGCGGCTGGACGCGTGCGATTTCCTTTGTTGGTTTAAGCCAATCATGTTACCGCCTGCAGATTTTCGTCTGGCAAAGATTGTCGCAGAAATTATCACATCAAAACAGAAAGTCCTTTCTTGATCCATCGCATGGCGAAGCGATTTCGACGGCGCGGAGACACTAGGCGAAATTCTACAGTCTGAAGGAACACAACGTTTTGTTCGATTGTTTGTTATGAACTTTTCTTTTAATGATTGTGGTTGTAGAAATTTAGCATCTTCAAGGATCTTTTCAAGGCACTTCAGGTCTCGACAACTGTGTTCGTTACAGATGTAACCGTCCACGTTTATATTTGACAGAGGAACATTCAATACGCTGGAAATTCTGTCTGGTGAATCAGAAACTTTTCCATTTAATTTGGTCCGCTTCCGAGAATCAGTTACTTCGGACCCACAGAAATCCAACATTCGAAGATCAAAGAAAATTAACTACATGTCGGAGTGTACAGAAATGTACCGAAGAATCTTTTTCACAATGTATGGAAATGTACTGAAAAAACTATTTCGAAAGTCATTTGGGTGGGTAAGGGAGCGCTTGATGCAATTTTGAGCCAAATAAATAAGAAAATTGGAGACCGGTTTCACCTCAGGTGATATCGGAGACGCCTAAATTATCAATTTTTCCAATTACGTCACAGACAAGGTCAACGGGTCACGCGTCCAGCCGTCTCTCTTCGGGGAGGATCAAAGACCGGACCCGGGAGACGGCGGAAATCGAGCCTAAGGAAAACAGTCAGTGACTGAAACTACAATCTTTTAATGCATGATTATCACTTGTGAAGCTGAAAAATGAAATTATGCCTCTAGACGTTTTGCAGTGCTTTTAAATGTGGAGTTTTGGGTTTAAAAGCAAACGTAATGATATTTTCAATCGCCTTTTCTTTCAGGCTCCGTTTCACCGGTTTATAAGCAGTTTAAGGGTGGGGTATTGCCTCTGGTGTTGCCGGCGCTGGCCTGATATTCATCTAGGATATATAAATGTCCCACTGACCACCAGTCCTGCGGCTACCAAACTATTCATACTAACCCTGACGATGAATCCATCTGTTGATAACAGCTGATACGTTCTCTTGACAGTTCTTTTTCTCCTTTTCCTCTTCTCTGACAAACCATTCAGGACTTCTTTTGATTAGCTGTGTAAGATTTTCTTGGATCCTCTCTGCAGTGATCATCATCGATTGCAAAAAACTTTTTAATTCACCAGTTTGCCACAGCTCTGTTTTACCCTCCGATGTACTGCTAAATATAATCTGACTCAGCTGCATTCTCACTATGTTGATGTCACCCCCTAATTGCATTAACATGAATGGAATGACACCCACATCTCCCGCCTCACCTCCGCTTCTTACCTGTCGGATCCTCAGCTTTAACCCGCTTAAAGCTTTCTTCAACGGTGATAAAAAACGAAAACGGGGCACTTCAGTTTGCCTCTGTATTTCACTCTCCGATAAATTTCCGAATCTCGCACTGATTTCCAGTATCATTGCATTGATTTCCTCCTTTAAATGCCTCAAAGTCGGGATGTCCTGTAAAAGTATTTCCGTTACGTCACTCTTACTATCAAGATCAGTAAAGAAGGTTTTGATTGCTGATGCACTAGAGACATTTTCGTCGTCTGCAATGATGAGAACAGCTCCACAACTGTGGTAAGTTGTAGGAAGATGAGCCACTTCATTCAGTCTCTTAATCTCATCTAATGTGTATGCTAGCTGAAGTGAACTGGGTGGTTTTATCGATTTAATTTCTAGCAATTCTAGGAGGTCATACAGCTGTAATGCCTCAAATACGTCTTTCAGCATCGTCACTGGGGTGTCTGGGAACAATTGAAAAATACTAAAAAAATTACTCAAACGTGATGGTTTTTTGGTGATCCCAAACGATTGTAGGACACGTTTCAAAGCATCATTGTCACTGTCAAGTCTGTTTTGAATCTTAGAAATAACTCTTCTATTCACATGTGCCAATCTGGGCGTAAGATCTGTAAAAGATTAAATCATTTAAAACAAAAAAGTCAGATCGATAATAGGGATAACAATAAGAGAGGCACATTAAACTTTGCAGAATGTTGATTGCAAAATTAGGTGATATAGTAACGCAGTGAAACAACCAAATCAGGTTAGCTCCAAGATCGAAAGATCCATCTGTACAATTCAACCTTTTGTTATGAAGCCAAGTCTGCAGGGAAATACAAAGCAACCTCCAAGAGGTTTGCAACTGAACTACCCGAATAAGTCGCCCCATGTAATGTAATCCGGAATCCGGAATCCAGGTAATTTTGGTCTGTGGAATCCGGAATCCACGGCTTTGGAATCCGGAATCCAGCTAATGGAATCCGGAATCCAAGCATTGTAATCCAGAATCCAGGTTGCTGGAATCCACTCTGTTGTGATGGTTCCAGGGCCTCTTCTTTTCCTTTAGCGACTGTTGCGTGAAAATCTCATGTCGCAAGGACGCGCAACAGGCATGTTCACGCGTGTTTCACTCGCAGGAACAGCCCTTGTCATTGTGACATATCGGGTATCAATTTGAAACAATGGTCACATGACGTGACAGAATCCCAGGGAGTGATTCATATTACTGTATATTATCGCTCTTTATAAGACAGCCTTTCGACCTTTTTCCCCGTTGCGCTTTTGGAGTCGGAGGTTAAGATTCTTTTCCTGTTTGGGCGCAATTGGAACTAATTTGTGGATTTCAGGTAACGTCAAAAGAATAATAATATAAAGTATCCTTATTCTTGGCCGTAGTATCAGTAGTCGCGGTGGTTGCAGTTACTGGCTTCTTTCAGGCACATGTCATCAGTGTCACTCAAAGAATGACATGCTGCACGTGGTGTCGACGTGGTGTCTTTCATTTAGTCCAGATTCAATCAGTCGAAATCAGACATCTCGAGAGATCACTTTGAATTTTTTTCTCAATCGATCGTTATCAATCTTTGTCAGCATGGGGAAGCACAAGAAAAAGCATGAGTCGGAAAGGTACGTACGTCTATAAATTCGGTGTTTGTGACTTTGTGATGGAAATGTTTTGGCGGCGTGGTTTTGAATAGATCAGAATGTGTGAAACAGTAATCTAAAACTTCGAGCAGCTATATCTGTCTGTTTCTATCATGTTCAGAATTATGAGCTAACTATCTTGCAAATTTATGTACAGGAGTCCAAGAAAGAAAGAGAGAAAAGCGGAGAAAGAAAAGAAAAGTTCAAGGTCTGTGGAGTTGTCGTTGTTTGTTCTATTCGTGTTTTCTGCTCAAAAAGCGGTGGTTGTGCGAACACTTACTGAAGCGTTTCTGTGATCAAAATTATATTCGAAGGTGACAGCGTTTCCATACCATTTACAGACATGCTAATTAAATAGAGCATTTGATCAATGAAACGAACATACCAAAGTGAATCCAAAGTAAATTATCGAATTTACTTCACCGTAGAGCTCCGGAAATTGCTTGAAAAGGTCTTCTTCGCCCTTGTAGTTTGTGCATGAGAGAAGATAAAGTATGCACAAGACTGTTCCTATTGGTTTGGGCCACTGACTGCGATCCCAAGCAAAAGAGCTTTATGAATTCCATGCTAGCAGACAGGGCGAAGTACCCCTACCAAGTCCCTATTCCTGACTGCCCACACAACATCAAGTCAGTACGTTCTGCAGAGTTTTGGCATTGGATTGACATTGATGGATACCTAGTGAATGTAAGGCTGCTTTTGGTGCTACGTAGAGAATACGAAGACATCAAGAAATCAGTTTCATTGAAAGCAGTTCGAAACAAAGATCGGATGGATGTAGAAACAGCAGTGGAGATTCACCGGAAAGCGATTCAAGATTCCATTCCAGATGAAAGAGTGAGCACAACATTAGTTCCAGAACTGGAATTCAAGCACTGGAAAAAGAACGGGGCCTCTCTTTTAAGCTACCCGGTAGGATTGGCATTCTCCCCAAAGCATAGCAGGCTGTTTATTACCGATAGACGTCTCCATGCAGTCTTCATGGTTGACATGCACTGTCCAGCAAATGTCACATTAATCGCTGTTGGTGGTGGTGAGCCCGGGCACACTAATGGATATGGCAACAAGGCCAGATTTAGAAACCCAGCTGGTATTGCGGTGAAAGAGAGCGGGAAGCTGTACGTTTGTGACCAAGGAAACGGAAGAGTTAGAGTAGTCAATTTGCGAACGCTTTTCTGTCACGCTTCCCAGATTGTACAAGGGAGCGCCGAAGAAAGCCAAAGTGAGGAAGAAGATTGCGCCGGTAGACGTATCCGTAAAGTCCATGTACACGATCTTTCCCTTATTTCTGAAGGTAATGTACCGGATCTGGTGTCACCATTTGCCATATGTGCGTCTGCAAAGGGTAGCGTTGAACTGTTTGTGTCAGACGTTGGTCTTGGCAAGATTTTTTCAATTTCTGGTGTTGTAGACGATGAGGAAACTAACTGCGTCGGCCAGTTAAATGAATTGTTTTGTTTTGATCGATCTAGTTTATTAACTTCATTAGCCTTAACACGTGACGAGCAATACTTGTTAGTTGGAGACGGGAATGGTTCATGTATTCATCTTTGTCAAGTGAGAGGACGATTGAAACTGAGAACAATTTCGAATATTCCAGGCCTCATGGGTATTGCAGTGACAGATGGTGGAACCGTGTTCTTGTCCTCCAGCAAAGAACACGCACTGTTCAGTTTGAAGGAAGAAGAGATGCTTGGGGGTAAAGAAACCCTAACAAAAGTGTGTGGAGAAACTGCAGGCCATCGTGATGGTGTCCAAAGTCGATGGAACAAGCCTACTGCTTTATGCGTATATCGAAACACTGTTTTCGTATGCGATACCGGTAACGTAGCAATAAGAATGTTGACGTCAGCAAAGGGACTGATCCCCCTGCAAAGTAAGATGGCCCAATATGCAAACGTGTTCCGACTCGACAAGAAAGCCAAAGAAGAAGACCTACCACGTACATTTGAAGATCATGTGAAATCTGTCGAGGAGTTGGTTGCATTTCTCTCTAACCACGAACAGGAAGCCCTGGAGAGGACGGGCAAGCGAAATACCAACGGTCCCGACATGACCATACCTCGATGCACCCGACAGTCCTTCCTCATAGTGCTAGAATCGCTGACCAGCCTTACCAACACGCTAACGGAGATTGGGCATAGTCACCTTCTGGACAGGATCTGTTTCGAAAGTATGACAACTTTGGGCGTGGAATGCTATTTCAAAGGAATGCGAGCAGACCACGACATGCCTACAGTGGCTAACTACGCTTACAGAAGAGCGCGCTGCGTGGAAGACGATATGCTGCGCATTTACCAGAAGGATTTCTCATATTTCACTGGGCCCAATTCATATTATCCGGAGAAAATTATCAAAGGTGAACCCCCAAACATCAAGACGCGACCAAACAAGCTGTCAGCAATCACTGAAGGAACAGGTAGCAAAGAAGAAGACACAAGGCGAGAAACTGTGATGCGAGAATTTGCTAAGGAGTATGGAAGAGGCGTAAGACAGGAAAATGTCCGCTCAAAAACGAAAGAGCTAACTGGCACCCTTCCTTATGCCCTTAGTATGTGTCCCACTACCATCACAGCCTCATTAGAGGAAAGCGAAGACGTAACAACAGCCTGCCAAGTTGTGGATGCTAATGTGGCATTGCGGAGTACGGCTGTACGGGTGCAAACCATTTACCAGAAAGACGACATATTGGCAGTAAGACACAACCGTAGAAGAGAGATCTCACCCTTCTGGTTAGCAGTTCTTCTGGAGGATGTACAAATAGAAGTGAATGGTGGAAATTTTGTGCAGCAAAGAGTATCCCTAAAGTGGCTAAACCAAACAAGTGATTCACTAACATACACCTCCGGTGATGTCTGTAATGGGAATTCCCCCAAGTGCATTCTAACCCGAGTACTCGACTTTTCTTCCGATGGATCAGACATCATTTTAACAACAGAGGAGGATAACAGGCTCTGTCGAATTGCTAATGGGGACTACGGTGACGATGATGACAATGAGAATGAAACTGCACCACCAACTGCAGAGGATGAGGGAGAAGTATCCCTCCCGATAAGACTGCCGGGAGTTAGTTTATCAGGACGGAGAACGACACGGTTTATTCTGAGATAAACGTTTCCGTTGCCTGCGTAGCTTGTAGTATAGTAACTGGACTATCTTCACGCTATTTGTTGGTAAGCTGTAACTGAAGTTTTACATTTCTGTGTGGCAATTAAACAATTCGGAGACGAATTATGTTTGAACCTGAAAAGCACTGATTTTGGCAATGTGTACCTCTTTTGTTATTGTTGACGCCGTTGTTATTATTAAAATAAGAATAGCCCTTCCTAGTTAGTATTTCTTCAACGATGTGGACTCAGTGGACTTCAGAAACCGCTCCTATATTCATAATCCTCTCGGGTAAGGCCAAGAATTATATTTTATACTTATATTTTATATAAGACAATGTACACTTCGGGTAAAAAAAGAACAAGCTTTTTTGGTGAAAACAAAGTACAAAGGAAACGAAGAATAGAATTTCAAAATAGAATTTTGAAATCTGGAATCCAGCCACTTATGGAATCCGGAATCCACGGATGTGGAATCCGGAATCCACAGGCATGGAATCCAGAATCCACAGCGTGGAATCCGGAATCCAAGACTCTCTTGGATTACCTTACATGGGGCGAAATAAGGCATGATGGGTCTACCGAAAATTTGATTGTGAGGTAAGGTGTGTTAAGCCGATTCACTGGGTTTTCCCGAAACACTCTAAAAATATCAGGAAAAGCTTTATTTGTTGCACGTTTTGGTTCAATGATCCCAAAAGATTGTATTACACGTTTCCAACCATCTCGGCCCCTTACGAATCTTTTTTGAGTGTTACGAATTACGCTTTCACTCAAGTGTAACAGTTCGGGGAAAGAATCTATGCTTGAAAAACAAAAACAAAAAGATAGTAACAATCAGAATAGCGATACCAATGGTAATTTAAGGGAAGACACGAATTTAAGCAATAATTAAGGGTAATTCTTAATCTTCAATGTCTCACGATAGATCACGACGTTTTGGAAGAGGTAAAGCCAAGTCAACGCCAACAAGACGTTCACAAGAAGCAAGACCAATTTGTTTTAATTTTGATTTTGATATAAGGGTGAATAGTAAGGGTGAAGTGATTGTTTGAGGCAACTCTTGCTAGCTGAGGGACAAGATGGGTACAATTCAAAATAAGCGAGAATACATTTTCGCAGTTTTTTTAAAAGCTGAAACAATGTGTTGCATGGTTAATACTTTTTACGGTAATTTTGACAGAAAAACTAAAGATTGAAATAAAGATGGGAGCCGAATATATTTGAATGCAGAATTCATTGACTCCCAATTAAACCTTGATTTCTATTGATGTTTACATCCTACCTGCTGAAGCTGAGAATTAATGTCCCCCAGACCTTCTGTATAATTTTTCATATTACACGAAATACGAATATAATTCAATAGTTGCTAATAATATTTACCAGCTCTGTCTTCCAAATGTCCAGCTTCAGATGCTGTTCCTTCTGTCACGAATCCGCTCTCACCTGTGGACGTCACAACACTGGAAGTTTCGTGTACTTGTTCAAGATATTTCTGAATGAAAGAATATTTCTCTTCTCCTAGACATTGTTCCTGTTCATCGTCTCTTTCTCCGACTTCTTCATTTCTTCCTTTACAATACAAATCTGAATCCGAGTGTCTCCGACGCCCATTTTGAGGCCTCTGAAGGTCTTCATCTTCTCCAGCTGTGAATAAAAATTATATATTTATTTAGCACTAAAAATTAATCAACAGTTAGAAGGAAGATAGGCGATGATGTAGTTGACGAGGGGGAGGCATGTGGTCCCTTTGATTCTTTTACTACAATTCTGCAAGTATCTTATTTCATATTTAAGAGCACTTTCAAACCTGGTGGTTGATTTACTAGTCATTTTAACTATGTCATGTTGTGTGTTGTGGTGTAGTTTGGAGGAGAAATAGAATAACATATTTTTCCTAACGTAGGAGTCATGCACATTTGGAGGAACATTTGTCCAGGAACACTGTAAATTGTAAATTGTAAATATCTTATTATCCACTCCCATCAGGGCTTTTCAGAGATAATTTACAACACTGCATGGTTGGGGGACTTTGCCAGACTGCTTAAGGTGCAGTTTACAAGTATTGAAGGAATGAGTAATGATGCTCCCATACATGAGTGTGAAAGTGAGATAGACCACTAGCACCGGGCACTACGTGCCCTACTCTTTACGAAGAGTGTGTGGGTTCTTTAACGTCCCACAGATTTATTACATGTGCAAGGGCTTGTGAGACGGGGTCTACGCGTTATCGTCCTTATCCGAGAAGACTTTTTGTCTAACCGTTTGCAGATGTTATTACAAAGGCAGCACTTTCTCCTCAGTTATTTAAAGACCCTGAGAGTTGGTCCGGCCGGGATTTGAACCTACGGCCTCCCGCTCAGCAGACCGGCGCTTATCCCATTGAGCTAACCGGGCGGCGGTCGATTTGATATTAAGGTAGGAGGAGTCGATAATCCATTAATCTGTTATCTAATTTACACATGATATGGTTTTGGCAATTTCTATTATATAATTTTTCGAGATGTACTGCTTGGTTTAAACTTTGATATACCGATAATGTCTAAGGCTTAAATATTTGACAAACGATAGTATACTATAGTTAAAAATTGACGAAGTTTCCCCTTTGCTGACCACTGATTAAGAGAGATTTTTATTGCTGTTAACAGACTTGATTTGATATACACTTATTTCAATTAAGGTTGCTCCCGTAAACCATGTTTCATAGCCTGCAGTGCACTATGGTAAACCCTTTTGTAGCGGGAAGTTTAGTCTTGTTCACGTTCATTAAAATAATGGAGACCATTTGTGAAAAGGCCTTTAAGAAAGCTTTCAGGTCAAATGGCTGCTAAAATTCTTAAGCATGAGCGAGCTGAAAAATTTCATTTTTAAAATCTCATGGTAAAAGATTATAGAAGACTCTTCTATTAACAACATTAAATGAATAAGGTTTTACCGCCTGATTAAGCAGCGTTTTTGCATGGGCCAGAATGCTGGTTATTTCAATAAAGCAAATCAACGCTATTGTTTTTTCTTATTCAGTGTTGAAAACATTGCCTCATAACAGATAAACACGTAATGTTAAGTTATTTATTGTTGTTCAACAATGCCTTGAATCTGATTTTTTTAAAACTCAATCCAAAATTCCCACGTGCACGAGCCAAGCAAATTCGTTGAAAACTTGCAGCATTTGCATATTACCACAGACAAAAACCTAACCTCAAATCACTGTCTTAAATTAAAAAGCCTAGGATTCAGTGTTTTGAAATAAATTGTCTTAACGTTCTGCTGACATAGCATAGAAACATTAGCAGCGTTTACTTCCTAGGTTTCTAGGCTCGTTGCGGGCACACAATTTACTAGACTTACTACAATAATGCAACGCGGGATATGAAACATGGATCATGATCATTCTGCTCAGAAGCAGCCTTAGCTGAAATAGGTGTATACACCATTGACGAAGCTTAACAGGAAACAGTACTAAGGCTAGGGAGTTGCACAGAAATTTATACTATGGAGGTATGCCTGCTGCAGTTATATGCCTCTTCATGTACGTACATAGGTTTCATCGTAGCCTCAAAAATGTAGCACGTTTTTATCAATGTAATAGTCATGTACCCAGCTATACGGACAATGTTACGAGAAATTTGTCATCACTTAGTGAGTAACGGATAGCGCAGTGGTGAGAGCACTCGCCTCCTATCAATGTGGCCCGGGTTCAAATCCCGGCGTCGACGCCATATGTGAGTTGAGTTTGTTGTTGGTTCTCTCCTTTGCTACGAGAGGTTTTTCTCCGGGTAGTCCGGTTTTCCCCTCTCCTCAAAAAACAACATTTCCAAATTCCACTTCGACCAGGAATCAGGTAGACGAAGAACTACTTTGTGGGTGTGCTACCTCCAAATCATTATTTATTTATTTATTTATTTGTTTATTTATAACACCCCGAACACTTCGTTAGAGAGAGGGGTTGCTGAACGTGAGGGAATCCGTTTTACCTATGTCATTAGTTCTTAAGTCGGCTGACACTTGTTTATACTCTTACCATCTTCCCCACATATCGCGAGCTCCCTTTTTAGTTTGTCAATCTCAATTTCAAGAATTTGCATCTTGAAATTCCATTTATTTTCTGCCTGGTTCAGTAGCATCAAAGTCATTTCATCCTCCTTTGGGCTGAGAGAAAGAAATGAATCTGAATTCCTTCGACGTCTGCCACCTTCCTGGCTTATGTTATCAGCAGCTGTCGAAAAGGATAAGAAAGAACAAAACCGATCATATACCTGACATGAAATATTTGACTGCAGAAAATGTTTTG